GGAAGGTAAAAGATAAAGTAGGGTTAAGAGATTTTGTAATGAAGGGCCTCATCATTGTACTCAATAATTTAATGACATGAGTTCACTTCATGAGAAGAAAGCTACCAAGATCATCATAATCTCTGAAAAAAAAATCTTGATTCTAGAAGGAATGATACATAGGAGAGTCAACGACCAAATAACCATTACTAAAATGCCAAATTTCTACATGACAACTCTACATATTGGCTTAGTAAGAAAAACATTGTTACTGCTATTCTAAAAGTGTACAGAGCAATACAAAGTTTAATGGCAAGGTAGTAACTGAAATGCTAAGTATATCAATAAAGTTGAATATTCATAGTATACAATTATGTTTAACCTTTTCTCCAACATCTGGAAATTTGCCATGTTCATCAGAAGGGTAAGTTCTTTCTACTCTCATTTTACACATTTGTCATTAACCTACATCCATGGTTTACTACTAGTAGTTAAGTGAGTGAGAGGGAGACGGACTGTGTGTGTGTGTGTGTGTGTGTGTGTGTCTGTGTGTCTGTGTCTGTGTTGAGAGAGAGAGAGAGAGAGAGAGAGAGAGAGAAATGAAAATGGAATATGGAGATACACTCCATGGAATAATATGGTATTTTTAAAAAGTCAGTTTAATGAATCTTGTAAAACTTGTTTCTCCCAAAAGCAAGTATGAATTCTACAAATTATACAAATCTATTTCCTAACAATTGTTCAGCCAGTAACCTGCTTTGTTTAATAAGCACATAGATAAAATTTAACTCTGGTGTCAGTAAAATATTCAGTTCTCATTAATTACATTTTAGTCACACTCAGCACTAATTAGAAACACAGCATGAAGTTCTTTAAAATTAGTGAATTTTGTTTAAAAGAACACTATTAGATTAACAACTACTATATCTCCTATTTGGAGAGTTCAGCATCACAGTGAGATTAGATCAAGTTACAGGGCAAATGAAACCTGCACACAGAAAAAAAGCAAAAGAACTGATTAACAAGTCTGCTTTTAATTAGCCTAAAGGCAATATATAATAAAGGAAAAAAGACTAGAAATGTAAGATTTGGAGTGGAAAGGATGTCAGAGATAATCTTATTCAGTGGTTTACAATCTGTGAATTCCTAGAATTTCTGCAAGGGGGTTGCAATTCCATATGCACATTTACACTTTTCTCCATCTATGAATATTAAAATTCCCCATCCCTACCAAGTTTTAAAATACTCAGTCTGTTTACTAGAAAATACTGAGAACTATTGATCTGATCTAGTCCAATTCTCTGTAAGTGGCATAGTTGTAGACATACCCAAGTGCACGTATGTCTACATACAGTGCCTCTTTGCATTTTATATGTAATGTACTATACATATATTCTGTACCTGGGTAGAGAAATTCAACCTTTCCTTCACTTTTCAGTTGGTTATGGCTTCTTTTAGTATTTTCCAAAGTATCTAAGTGAGAACCATTCTTTAGTTTTGTGATCAATAATCCATTCCTATTTGAGTACTATACCTTCTTAGTGAAAAAAGTCATGCTCCAAGTCTAACAGTTAAAGTAGGAAAAACTTAAAAAACAAAACCAAAACCAAAAAAAACAGGTGAGTCATAGTGTTTACCAGTTGTCAGTTTTATTTTTCTGTGTCAACTTTCCTAAAGTCTACACTACTCTTTCCCTTTACCAAGCTTCCATTGTAATTTAAATTTAGCCCCCCCCCAAGTAAACCTTTACACATTTCCCAATTGCCTAAAAATAATGGTGTAAATAAGATCTCACAGGCCTAGTGCAAATCACTCAAGCTTTAAGAAGAAATTAAGTAATTTACAGAGCCAAACAATGGGAATATGACCTTTTTGGCAAATTAATTTATCAATGTAGGAGACCATAAGCACTGAAGTGAAAGAATAAATTCTGGGTGCCAATTTCAATTTTGCCACATTCTGTGACATTCTGAAAATGTTCTCAGAAATTCAATTTTCTTCCTTATCTATAAAATGGGGAAAATTACATTTTGAATAGAAGAGTAAAATTTACATGCTAATTACTCAGAGTAGATCCCTGTTCTTCCTTCATTTAGATGCTTTTTCCTTTTTCTGGTTTATTCCCAAATAAATTCAAGAGATTCCCCTGAATATTTTCATGCCCTCCCACTACTTCTCATTCATCTTCCTGATATTTGTCTGTTATTACTCAAAGTCAATCTTGTTCTTTTCCTCTCGCCTTTCAAAATCTTTCAAGTTGTTTCCAATATGTACAAATGATTAATCTAAACTAATCTCATTGGCCTCACTTAATCTATTCATTAAAACCTTTCAAAGAGCAAAGGAATTTGTAGCAGAAATAACACAAACTAGAGGAAGCATACTCTTTTAAGTGGATTAAGTTGTTGAGCAAAGCAATACTCCTCATTTCCTCTTCTCATGAATAATCCATAATCCCTCTCCCATGGGACTTGATATCAAATTCAGGATATTATACTTTTGCCTCAAAATAAAATCTATATTTTATACTCTCAATACTCCAGTTGTATTTAAGCTGGATGAGTATTGCAAGTTCTATTTCTTTGATATACTTACTTCAATCACTTTGTGTATACCTGGTGATCTTACAGTAATCCAAGTGGAAAGTCACTTTGGTGTCTCAAAAATGGATATGCCAGGACTGAGTTTATCAAAAAAACTATGCGCTATTGTTAATGATCATGTTATTTCAGATTCTCTAGACATCTTTTATGAAGAGAAACTACTAAGAAAAAGAATAAAATAGAGTCCTATAGGGAAAGTTCTTGACGTTTTTGATAGATTTGGGTTTTAGCTATGACTCTGCTGGGAGTGGTGATGGGTGTCATCACAGAACCGAAGCTAAGTATACCCTCACTTCTTACCCTGTGCTTCCCTGAATTTTCAGAATTTCTGACTTTGTCTACTACCAACAATATTTGTTCATCTTCTAATGAACCTTTGATAGAATATAGCTCTACTCTTCAGATAGCAAGTATTTTATCCAAGTTCAGAGATACAGCTGAGGAATTAACATGAAAACCATGTCTCAATAAATCAGAAGCTGCTAGCTAGTTAGCTTTTGAGACTATGAAAAAAACACCAAAGTGGTATTACTCAGCCACCAATCTAAAGAGAGAACTTTGACTCAAGGTATAAATGAAATTGTAATTATATAAATATATTTATAAATATTTATACAATTATATACTTATACATAAGCACTTACACAGACTTAGAAAAAACTGTAGGAACATTAATTCAAAAGGACTCACTGAAGAATAAACAGAATTTTCCATGATTTCCTTGAAGAGATACATAACTCATTCTTAGGGAGGGTCCCTCAAATTCCAACCATTAAAACCATATTTTCTAATTGTGTACTAGCAACATATAAGCATCTTTTTTTTTTTAAAAAAAACCTTTGTGTTGCAAGAGTAAAGTAGATGGGAGCCTAGGATACAAACAATAGCAATTATGTTCCTCGAGTAGGAGAATCAATCTAATTCCCCAATGAACAAAATAGGTCCCTTCTACATTACAATTTTATAAGTTATAAAGTTCTTATTTTGCCACCACAATCACTACTAACCCTTCAAAGGACTGTATGTATTTAAGTTCAAAATAAGAACTGAGCATATAGTGAAGCTGGTAAATCAAACAGTATTATATTGATTCAAGATGGCCTCTTCCAAATACTGAAGGAAAAAAAAAGTAAACGCTTTTGTCCACTACAATTTGAATGTGGCTTTTGTTGGCAGAAAAAACCCACAACATCTGAAGATTACTGGTAATCCCCTCCCTTAGTAAATGTTGTCTATGAATTCAACTTAGAGGTCTTCCCTTTAGAGGCTTTCAGTTTTGATACCATTTCCAAGAAAAAAGCATGAGAAATTTAAGCTCATTTAGTCACCAGAACCTTTTCGAGTCTGTTCCAACCAGGGGTAAAAAATGAACCATTTCTAACCAAAGGAAAATGGTTAGCAACTCTCAACCGCAGCTTTCTTTTCCCCCCTGGGACATACGCAAGTATGCCTTAAAGCACATAGGACAATAGATAATCATAGTGGTTACAACTACAAGCAATTGTACTACATGATTATTGAACAGCTGCCTTCGTATAGATCATTTGTGGACCCAAAAAATGGAAGGATCAAAGGAATATGCTGTACTGGCATAAAACAGCAAGCACCTTCCTATCCCAGTCACCACAATATGCTCTCTAAATGTCCAGTCCAAGACTAGCAGGATCAGTATAGTTTGAGTAATATTTGAGAAAACAGTCTCAGAATATTGCTAGGATACTGAATGCCACCCCATGCAACTCACCCTATACTTAACACTCATTCTGCCAATAACACATATCATGGAAATTATTTAAGCTATGAAGATGGGATTTTTTTGAACAAACAGAAAAAAAAATAAATATGATGAGCAATAATTATGAGATGCTTTTTCTATTAAACAAAAGCATAGATATTGTTTCGTGATATTTCCTACACAAACAACAAAACAAATTCTGTTAGAGAATTTCTTTTCCCTACTAAAAACGGGGCTTATAAAAAAGGAAGGATGTTCTAATTCCAAATCTAGCCTTTCCTTTACCAAAGGAGTCTGAGGAATAACATCATTTGATCCTGAAAAAGTGCCATGCAAGAGACCACTTTTTGGAACACACATTTCCTGCTGCCAGTACTAGGAGGTCTTATCCTTATACTTCCATTTGGTCACCAGATTTAAAAAAAAAAAAAAAAAACCAGGAAAGGAAAGAAAAGGGTAGGAGAAAGAATTAAGAGGCAGATTATAGGAAAGAGCAAGAAATAAGAGAAGGCAGGTGACTTGCTTGCCCAACTTTTGGCTCCATGGTCCTATGAGCCAAAATGCATACTCAGTGACATGGTATCTCACAGGAAAAGGGAAAAAAGGGGTAGGCTGAGAGAGGTCAGGCCATGTTGTTAATTTCTTTCCTGTACAAAGACAGTCTCTTGAGGACAAAGACCTGCCTCTTGTAATGTAATGTCATAGTCCAGATGAGAGAGTTTCCTTCGAGGAAAGTTGGTGAGAAGTTCAAAACGTTCATTTGGATATCCTTTAGATTGGACATGCTTCACCAGAGCCTATGAGAAACAAGAGGAAGATAAAGCTGTTAGACAGAAATAAAAGGAGAAAGCATATTAAATAATTAAATATGTAACATTCATTTTATCATATCAGATAAGGTATTCTTTCATATAGGCAAAGTTTACCCCCTGAAAGAGCCAACATCAACTCGTTCGAATGAGGAAATAATAAGCCTATAGCCAATAATTTAGGACTAATAAGTGATATTAAAAAATACGGGGTTAGGCCCTCCCTGGTGGCGCAGCAGGTTAAAGCACAGCACTGAGAAGCTAAAGCCACTTCCGCTTAAGCCAATAATTTAGGACTAATAAGTGATATTAAAAAATACGGGGTTAGGCCCTCCCTGGTGGCGCAGCTGGTTAAAGCACAGCACTGAGAAGCTAAAGCCACTTCCGCTTAAGTTCGATTCCCGCCTGCCCCGGAGGTGACCACATGGTGTGGCAGACCTCTCCTGACCCGCCCGCTGCTCCCCTCAGCAGTGTACTTCTTCGATCTGCCTGTTCTGCTCCCCACTCTGTCTCTGGTGAAGGCTCTCGCCGCCCCTGAGCCTCTGGCCTGTACCCCAGTTCTGTATGCACAAATAAATAAACCTTAAAAAAAAAATACGGGGTTATTACTATCTCCCCAGTAAACTTAACTGCTATTTACAAAACTGTTATCAATATTTTTAAATATTTTAGCATTTTCCTTCCTTCTTTTTATCAGGGGAGAAAAGTCCTTCATTCTACCAATGTCCGATCTCACCACCTATGCATTGTTTTCATGTGTTCTCAGAAGCCCTGTCAATACAGAATATTCCTTCTTTTTTTAATCTTTATAGGTTATTTTTAAATTTATGTATCCAAGAAATAGGGTATAGTCCAAAGGTGAGAGGGGTGAGAGGATCCCTCTCTGAAACAGAGTTGGGAACAGAACAAGCAGATTGACTGAAGTACACTACTGAGGTAGTGATGGGAAAGATGAGATATTTGCTGTGCCATGTGGGTCAGCCCTGTGGCAGGGGATTGAACTCATGCTGCAGTGGCGGCAGTAGCTTCACTGTGCTAAGACAACTCTTTGCACTACCAGGGAGGCCCCAATATTCCTTCTTTAATAATTACCTTTAATCTCACTTAAACATGCTCACTTTCCTTCAACCAACTTTTCCTTCCTCACTACTGTCCACACCCTTCTACACCACCCCACAACAGAACTTCTCATGTCCCATTCTCTCCCAAATTTTAGATCAGGGAGACAATCTGGGTTTGAGTACCATCAGGTGCAGCCCACCCACCTTTTCAAGGTAATAAATTTAGTTAGGCTTTTCTATTACATACAACACAGAAAAGTCTTGATTGGAACAGAACCTATCTGACTTACCGAAGATAGTTTGGGAAGGAAATTAAGATTCACCACAGCTAACTTTTCAATTAGTGGTTAGACAAAAATCTAATGGCTATTTCAAAGAATCATCAAGTAACCCTTTCTGGATTTACTCCAATTAATCAGTTTCTTGATTCAAGCAAACACCTCCATTAGATATACTTACTAGAAGTTTAGCTTGTTCTGGGAGAGTGATCTGTTCCCTTTTTCCATCTGGGTACCGCAACATCAGCTGTGCTTTTGGTCCTAAGGGAAGGGTTAAAAAGAAAAAGATACAAGAAGACAGCTTAAAATAGAAGACTAAATTAAATTAAACATAGAACTAGATTACTTCCATAATATTTAAATTTTAAGTATAGCAAATGTAGTATGTAACTCACCATTTACATCTATTCCCTCTATTATTCCATCTGATTTTTCAGGGGACATCTCCAGTATTTCTGAATCCACAGCTGGTAATCCTTGGTGGTTTGTGGTTGTCCCGGGCTCAGTTCTAGCTGGGGGCTCAGTTAGTGGCCTTCTGTTCTCCTCTTTTCTATGCCCCAAATCTTTATGGGGAGACTTTCGGGACTTAGCAAGATTCTCTATCTCCTCTTCTTCATCAGAGCCACAAACGGATATGAACTCCTCACTGCCAGAAAAAAGTTCAGATTCAGATTCTTCATCTGAGCGGCTATCCTGTTTTGTCTGTGTTGAATCAAAATGTGTCTCTTGCAAGGAGGCTCTGATGGCAGCTTCTAGCTGGCTGTCTTCACTTGCATCTATAAGGCTCTCCTGCGAGATGCAGTCATAAAACATGGGTGGAAAGAAAAAGAAAACAGTTAAACCAAAAAATAGATAGTTAAGTCAAATAGGGCATAAGAAATGTAATAGCTTACCATTATTCTTATCCGCTGAATAAACATCTTCTACTAAATTTAAGTTATTTGAGGGCAATGACTTTGTCTTACACAGCCAGGTTGGAATGGATATTTTAAAAGCAAAAATAAAAAACTGTCATACCACCTGGCATAAAGATGCTGCAAAGCACAGGTCTTTTTTTTTTTTTTTTTGCATTTTTTTTTTTTTTTTTTTTTGCATCAAAAATGAGTTAAAAAAAAAGTCATTCCCTGTCCAGAAAAAGACAAAAATTAAGATTTTAAATATATATAAAGTCAAAACATTAGTCTTTAAAATGACTAAACAAAGAGAAGGATGGCTACCTTAATCATTGTATTCTTTAGCTAGCACTGCTTGGGCATAGAGAAGATCTGTAACAACTCAGTAATTATTTTGCAAAAAATCTAACAGATCTCTAACACAAAAAACAAAATATTATAAACAGGGGCAAACAAATTTCAATACTTTTCTCCTTAAGTTCTAATGTCACTGATTTTTTTGAGTTTCTGAGTTGAACTTAATTTAGGCCCAACAAAAACTACACACAAAAAAATTTGTAAAATAATTAAAACTTGAACACTGTCTATTTTATGATACCATGGAGTTATAGTTAACCTTTGTAAGATTAACAATAGTACAATCATGGTACTATGATTTTTAAAAAATAACATTTTTACCTTTTGAAGATATATGCCGAAGTATTACTGAACGAAATAATCCTGAAATCTGCTTCAGAGCAAGGTTAAAAAAAAAAAAAAAAGGAAGGGTTGCTAACAAACTATAAACTCAAGAAATTATAAACTAAGGAACCTCTTTTTTCTTTTTACTATCTACCAATTACACAATAAAACATAATAAAGAAAAAAGTTTAAAGAGATCTAAGGTTGATAGCCAACCAAAAGAGGTAACCAGATGTGCCCATATGACCCGCAATGCAGGGCAAAGGAGGATTGTGAGTCAAACAATGAAATTACACAGTATGTAGAGTTTGATTTTAGACTGCTCAGAGCAAACACTACTGGCTTCCTATCCAACATCTTCTCCTTTGACTCCTTACTTACAGAACTCTAACCACAGGTACATAAGAGGAAAAAAATAAAACTCAAGTGCACAGAAGGAAAAAGAGAAAACAAATCAAAGACCTAGAAAGCAAAAAAAAAAGTGAAACTACAGCTGGTTCTTTGAAAATGAGTAAAACTGAAAAGCCTCTATCCTGACTCAGAAAAAAAAGAAGTCACAAATTATCAACAAGAGGATTAAAATAGGGGATATCACCAAGGACACCACAAATGTTACAGGAATAACAAGGAAATATAAGGAATAACTCTATGTCAATATATTCACAACCCGTTAGAGATAATGGACAAATTCCAACTGAATAGCCCCACATATATCAATGAAATTGAATCTGTAGTTTAAAACTAACCATAAAAAAACTACAGGCTGAAGTTGCTTCACTGAAGATGCCATCAACTAATAAGGAAGAAATAATACCAATTCTACAGAAAACAAGAAATACTTTCAACTCACTGAAGTTACCACTAACCTGATGCCAAAATGAGACAGACATTAGAAGATATTACAAGGAAAATAAAACAAAACCCAATAAAACTATAAATTAATAGCTATTATGAACATACACACAAAACGTATTGACAAAATCTCAGTAAATCAAACCTGACAACATATTATCAAAAATAATATATCAAAACCAAATGGATTTTAGCCCAGAAATAAATGGTTGGTTTAACATTAAAAAAGAAAACTACACAATCATCTCAAATGTAAAAAATCATGACAAAATTCCCTTATGATAAAAACAGCAAACTAGAAATAGAAGGAAAATTTCTCAACCCAATAGTGTATCTCTAAGAAATACATAGATAACATCAATCTTAATGATGAAAGATTAAATAATGTCATGCCAATGTAAGAAAAAAATTAAGGGTGTCTCAATACTACTACTTTGTTCTGGAGATCCTCACTTTAAAAAAAAAGGTATAAAGATTGGAAATAGAATTAATCTATTTGCTGAAAACACAGGTTATCTTATAGAAAATTTTACAATCTAAGAATAAAGTGCTAAAACTAAAAAGTGAGTTTTGCAAAGCTACAAGGTCATAGATAAAACTACAAAACATGGTTAAGAGAAATACAAAATTCAGAGAAACATATGCTATGTTCATGGACCTAAAACAGTATTGTTAAGGTGTTAATTTCCTTCAAAATGAATCATAGCTCACATAATTCCAAAGTCCCAGCAATTTCTTTGTAGAAAGAAATAAATAGATTTGAAAACTTACATGGAAATACAAAGGACCTGAAAAAACCAAAACAACTATAAAAAACAAAGTTACAGGACTTACACTATGCAATCCAAGACTTATTTAAAGCTGCAGTATTCAAGTCAGTGAAATACTGATCTAAAGAAACACATATCAATCATTAGAAAGACTATATAAATCCACACCATACGTAATTTTTGACAGAGATGCAAAGGCAATTCAGTGAAGAAAGGATAATCTTTCAACAAATGTTGATGGAATAAGTTTACTGAGATATGCAAACAAACAGAAAATCCAACTTTTCCCTACCACCATATACAAATATTTATCATGGACTTAACAGCTAGACCTAAAAATATATGGGGATAAAATCTTGGGTTAGGGTAAGGTATTTTTAGATAAAACAGAAAGCACAAAGTCTAAAAAATAAAAAGTAGATTTCATTAAAACTTGCTTTTCAAAAAACACTATCATGAAAGGATAAGCAAGCAACAAATTGGGAGAAAAATATACAAGCCATATATTTTATGAAGGGCTTATATATGAAATATAAAAAGAATAACGAAAATGCACTAAGTTATATGACATCTCTCTCCCCCAATGAATTAAGAGATCTGAAAACACTTCAACCACAAGACAGCAGAAAGCACATGAAAAGGTGCTCATATCAAAATTTGTCCAATTGTAAATGTTAAGTATGCTCAGTTTATTATACATTTATACTTTATAGCTATGCTTCAAAGCTATAAAACTGTTTACAGTAAAATAAACATAATACCTCTCTCTCATGCATGCACACAAGCAAACAGATGTGTCCACCACATGATAGGCAATGGCTTAGCCTGACTGCTGATAATAGTGTCCTAAATAAATTGACATTAAAGAATACTATGATGAATATTGCCAGCTTCCTATCTTATACCCAGTCTTCTTTGCTTTCTTATTAACAGAATCTCAACTTTCTCTCTATACTGTTGTTTCCACCTGAATAAAACTTTTCTTGAGTAATTGGAGAAAATAAAATTCTGTATTACCCCTTGCAAGCAGCCAGCTATGCTTTTTTTAAATGGACACTATTCTAACTGAAAACTTAAGAAGATTTTTCATCACTTCATGATACAGAATGCTAAAATGACATCCTCTAAAGCTAACTGTACCCTCACTACCATCATACCGGAAAGGTAACAATTCCTAATGTGAGATTTTTTGAAGGTCTTTTACACAATTTTACACAAGACATTTATATACAATTACATCTAAATGCCCAACACCACTACTGAGTTATACTTACTGAACGGGCACATTTTTTGGGGGGGCTGCTAGAAAGTCCATCCAATTGTCCATGTTCACCCAGAAATCCTGTTACTTGGTCCAAGAAAGAAGATACATCTAACTGGTGCCATTCTACTAGTTTCTGACCTGAAAATTAAAAGTCAGGACATATAATAAAATTAACTTTTTGAGATTTTATTTATATGTTTATTCATACAAGAATTGGGGTATAGACTACCGGTTTAGGGAGTGAGAAGATTCACCAGAGACACAGTGGGAAGCAAAACAGGCAGATATACTGAAATACACTGCTAAGGGGAGCAGAGGGTGAAAAAGAAGAGGGCTGACACACCATATGTAGGTTAGCTCATTGGACAGGGATTGTACACCGGTGCAGCAGTGATAGCATTGGGACTTACCCCTACGCCATCAAGGAGGCCCCCTAAAATCTGAACATTTTTATCAAGTATTTCTTTCAGCATATACATAATTCAAATTTACATATCCTCACTCTTTACTATCCTAAGTTACCTAGAAGATACATTATTTCTATAACCAAGCTAGAGTTCCCAGCTATCATCATAAGTCCACTATCATTTAGAAAGAAAAAATTCAGCAAAGCATTATCTATATAAAACTTTATTGCTTAAATAGCAAAACCAGTTATATCCACTGCTTTTCTGGTAGTATTATAAATGAACGAATTATTTTAAGTAATAGTACATGAACAACAGTATTTTAAATAATAGAAAACCTGGTACCTTATGTAAAATGACCAAAAAAAGATGATATAACAGTCTTTGAAAGAACAGTATAATACCCAAAGCTGTCAGAAAAACTCTTCACCTAAATTACTGACTATTCTGAAAATGAACCCAAATAATAAATAACAATTACTTAAGTAACTGAAAGATAAGCAATATATAAGGCTTTAAGTTAATAAAAATCTTACCTGTCCGTGGATCCAAAATAGAAACATATGGGAAATCCCCAAGCTTATAAAACTGTATGTATCTCTGACCTTCTTCACTGTCATGATAAACCTGGTTAAATCATTGATATTATTAAAAAAAAAAGTCAGTCTTTAAAAAAATATCAACTATCCTTGTTATATACCCAAAACAATTCTCCAGCTATATATTTGGTATACAATGGGCATGCACTACATTACAGAGAAAATAAAGATTATTTGATTTGAATCCCCTTAACTTCTTGCACTTAACTCATTCGGGGGTTAGGGGGGATACACACACACACACACACACTCATTTATATACATATATATATTTTAAAAATATATATACTTTAAAATATGTATGTATACTTTTATATATATATATATTTAAAGATTTATTTATTTATGCATACAAGGACTAGGCACAAGGCCAGGCCAGAGGTACAGGGGTGAGATGATTCACCAGAGACAGAGTGGGGAGGAGAACAACTGTATCTACTGAAATATACTGCTGAGGGAGTAGCAGGATATAAAGGAGAGGTATTCTATACCATGTAGGTTAGTTTCCTGGTTAAGGATCAAACTCATGCTACAGTGGCTGCAGATAGCTTCACAGTGCTGAGACTTAAAACCCTGTACCACCAGGGAGGCCCCCTTCTGAAAATATTTATTAATATTATCTACTCTTCTTTCCCAGTTCTGAAGAGGTATTGCTCTTCTTATTTATCTGACCAGCTATGTGATTCCTGAGTGTCACCTATTACCTTAGTAATTCATAAGATAATTCCTGAGATCATAATCTTAAGTGCCTAGCATAGCGCCAGAAAGAGATGCTCAATCAGTAGGTATTGAATAAAATGTTACCATCCATAAAAAACACTGAATTTAGGAGCCTATAAACATGAACAGGCAGGTTATTAACATTAGTGTATTTTATGGGGGGGGGGGGGAATTAACTTCTTTCATTTTTATTTTCTATGATTTTTCATAAACAAAAACTGTAACAAGAGCATCTAACCTTAGCTTGAAATTTTAAAAAGAAAACTAGAGCCAACAAGAGTAAGTGATGACCTGAAGATCATCACTAGATCATCAAATAAAGCTAAAATTTAAGTTAGTCAAATCTTTTTCCATTACTCAAAGATCTACATTAGCACTATCAACAGGTGCCATTAAATGGCGCAAGCATTTAAAGTGCAGTACTATGAAGCTATCTGCAGCCACTATAGCATGAGTTCAATCCCCAGATAGGGGTGACCCACATGGTGCAGCAGACCTCTTCTGTTTTGCCTGCTGCTCCCTCAGCATTGTATTTCAGTCAGTCTACCTACTCTGCTCCCCACTCTGTCTCTCATGAATCTTCTTACCCCCTCACCTCTGGCTTGTACCCCAGTTTTTGTATGAATAAATAAATAAATCTCAAAACAAATAACTACAGTTACAGAACATTTTAAATTACATATGATATAGGGAAACCAAATAAGGGACGGGGGGGGAAAAAACAATTAAAAAAAAAAACAACAACAACAATGCAACAAACTAAAAAAAAAAATCAGACAACTATAAATCAGAGACATTCTGCAGGGGAGGGAAAAGGAGAGGATACAAAACTCAGGTGGGAAAAGCACAAGGGACTTAGGTGATGGTGAACAGGGATGAACTGGTGATGGCAATTCTACAGGGGTAAATAGGTAGTGGAAATTCTATGGGGATAACACCTGATGTAAAATATACACAAATAAAGAAAAATTTTTTAAAAGGTCAAATATGTGAGCTGAAAAAAATAAGTAAATTATATATATATAGCTCATATTTTATTTCTTTTTAAAAAGATTTATTTATTTATGCATACAAGAACTGGGATACAAGCCAGAGGTTCAGGGTGTGAGAGAATTCACCAGAGATATAGTGGAAAGCAAACACAGTGCTGAGGGGAACAGCAAGCAGGTCAGGAGAGAGCTATGCCATGGGGGCCACCTCTCTTACCAGGAATCAAACTCATGCTATAGTAGCTGTGGTGCTTCAAATTGCTAACCAGTTGCACCAGCAGGGAGGGCCCTCACATTGTATTTCTACTGAACATAGCACAGTTATACACTATATCAAGACTTACATTATCACATGACTTAGCTTTTTTATCTGTCTTTTACTTGGATGTTCTTTGCTGTTGTTCTTTCACTTATATTTACTGTTTTATATTTATTACGGGAAGAGTTCTGCATTTTCAAATGTTATAATTTAACTCATTTCTTCCCCCTCATCCTCTCTCCATTTGTAACCTAGTTCCTCCTCTCTAATATTCTATTACTACAAAAGTAAAATACTACATAAACTAATTCTTCATCTCACCTGCCAGAAAATAAAATGTTCCCGGATGATATTCTTCACAGCTTCATTGCTCCATACATCACGGTTGAGGCACTGACAGGCAAAGTCTTGAACATTTTGAATATTTATCATGAGCCACTTATTTTGCATCTGGCCACATTCTTTAGCCTGTAAAAGTTATACATCATTTACTAGTAGCAATTTCTAATTGGTAACTGCAATTCTGAATTTCAGAATTCAGAAATTGACCTGTTTTCACACAATTACTAAACTTTTTCCTTCAAGAGTAACCTCTAAGGCTTTTTGTATAAATACACTTTATATACAGATATATGTGTGTATATATATAAATAACTGTCTTTTTTCAAGACATTTTCAAATTTAAAATAATTTTCTTTCATTCATTATTATTTGTTATAATGGCTGAATTTCTATTTCACATTTAAACAAAAACCTGAAAAGTATTTAACAAACTTAAGGTCAATGAGTCACATAGTTCTATCATATCATCTCTTCCAGTCTCTATCCGTAAATATACTTCTCCTTTTCAATACTTGTATCCAGTGTGTATATCACTTTATGCTGCTTTACTGTCTTCAAATTTTTTCATACACATGAAAATATCATATTCATCTCGATTATTATGCATATTTTCTTACAAGTGGATTTTAAAGACTGAAACTGTAGGATCAAATATTATCTCCAGGAAACCCCCAATTTATAACACAAATATCAACCACTGAAATTGCAAGAGAATTCACAGATAAGACTTAAATCAACAACTTACAGTTTCAAAGCTGCCTTTATGCATCAAATCAATGGGTGGCCGGAATAAATCAGCAAGGGTAGTTAGTTTCTTATCTATTGCTCCTCCATTTCTTAATTCCTGTTCTTGCCGAACTGTAACACAGGAGTTTAAGAAGGTTTTCAATTAGCCATAAAGTAGTGAACAAAATATGTAGTGCTAATTTTTAAAAAGGATGAACTGCAAAAATTACTTAAAATGTGCTTGACCTCAAAAGCAAATGCAAAGTTCTAATGTGACTGAGAAAAAATACAAAAGGAAGTTGGGAAGCTAGATTTAAGCCCTGGTGATACTCTCTAGTCAAAAAGGAATAAAAGGAGATATTTACATTAGGATCATCAATCAAAAAAATTGCCTTCACATATTCAAAATTAACATTAGTAGAGGAGAAAACTTTCATCTCCATTAATCTATTTTTGAAAGTGATTCTAATTTACCTGCTGTTTCTTGCTACATTACCCATATTTAAAGATTCTTAAATGAGAGGGTAACCACTGCTGTCACCTTCTGGGAGTTACAGGAGTCACTGGATTACCTGAATGAGTCTGGCTCCCCCTTTAACTATCTGTGCTTCAATGCACACAATATAAATCAATTATAAAATGAAACATGTTCCAAGGATTTTTCATATATTCTATAAATGTAATTACTTTTCTCTCACATTTCATTGCTAAATCAGCATTAAGGACATGATTCTCATTCTAACTTATACCACACAATGATATAAATTTTCCAAACAACTTAGCCAAATGTTTATACCAGTCACTGTGGGTAGTGTGGCTTTTTCTTCTATTTTTCAATCTCCTACAATAACCACTTTCATTATGGTCCATTCCTGAAACTTATCAGGGTCCTGAAGATCCACTTAATTCATTATAGTCAGCATTCAAATGTTTGTCCAGAAACTGATTTTATAAATTACCAAATTTTTTAGATTATGTCCATCAATCTTGTTATTTTTGTATAATCAAAGAGGTTAGAATTTGGAACAATTCAGTTCAAGGGCAAAGTAGTAATTATCATAGACTGAATTCATAGTTTCACTTTTTAAATAAGGTGCATCCTCGAAAGTAATTGGGCCTAATATTAATCATGTAGAACAAATTAGGATATTAACCTATATGGTGATGTACGGGTTTTGCCACCTCATGGTTTTAACTGTGAGGGGGAAAAAGACAAGGCAGGGGGAGAAAAGAAAAGACAAACTGGTCCATAGATACCTACTAGTTTCAGTTTGAAAATCCCGGAAACCATCAAATATTGAGCGTGCAGGTCGTCGCCTTTTAGGAGCTTTAAGGGAAAAAACAGAATTGATACAAAAATGTAGACATTAATTTTGAATAAATTGTACAAACTTTCTTATTAAAGGTATTTAGTGTTTCAAAATACTTAATAGATTCATTACGGTACCTCCTTTGGGAAAAAAAAAGTATTTTCAAACATTGAAGGCATTCAGGTATTAACTCAGCCTATCTTTGACCAAAGCATTTCATTTCACAAATTAGGAAATTGAGGTCCAGTTAAGAGACTTAACCAAACTTACATAAAAAGATAAGAAGATTTTGATGTAGACTGCCTATAGAGACAAAGCTACAAATGTGCTATAAATTTCTAATTCAGGTTACAAACGTGCCATAAATTTCTAATTCAGGTTACATGAATTAGGGATCTGACTACCCTTTTAGTGTAACATTCGAGTGATTAACCCAAGTTCTAAGTCATATTTAAGAAATAGTTCTTAATGAGTGAGTGCACATGCAAAATTATAAATACCAGGAACCTTTTTTATTTGGGGAGGGGGAAAATTTTCCAGTTACATAATGGTTTTGTGTTAGAAAATAGAAACAAGGGATTATAAATGACACAACTAGACAGTGCCTATTACCCAAGGCTTTTTTTAACAGATAATTTTACAGATGATGCCTAGAAAAAAAATAATGAAAATGTCATCTTCCTTTCTGTATATGTTCTTAAGTCAATTATCAAATTGTTTACGTAACTTTTAACAAATATAGACAATGTGGGTAACAGTTATTAAGTGGACTTATAGCTAACCTAGTCACTATGTAACCAGAACATTGTTTCCTGTTGCTAACTGATGACTAGTATTAAGATTAGAGAGAAAGTACAAATTGCCCACTCTGCTTTAGGGCATCTTTCTCAACAGCCTGTATTATGCCACTATACACGGGATAATTCTTCCTCAAGGATTATTGAGTGAAAAGGAAAACAATATTAACAAAACATGTAAGGTCTCGTTTTAAAACTACCTATATATCATTTATGCATTTATCAGTATTAATATTTAAAAATCACAGGTTTAGTTTTGGACTGAATTTTTACATTTACATTCAATTTTCTTTGTACTGAATTTTTTCAAACTTTAAATATTGAGGGCCCCCTTTGTAACACACAGATTAAAGTCTCAGAGCTGATGTCTCTGAGGAGAAACAGCAGACCTCTCTTGTCTTGCCCACTTCTCCCCAACAATGTTTCTCAGTAGATCTATCTTTTCTGCTCCCCACTCTGTCTCCAGTGAATCCTTTCAACCCCTGCATCTTTACACTCCAGTTCTTTAATGCATAAATAAATAAATAAAATGAATCTTTTTTTAAAAAATGTAAATATTGTGGCCCTCCTTGGTGGCGCAACGGATTAACCCCTGCACCTCTGGCCTGTACCCCAGTTCTGTATGCATAAATAAATCTTTAAAAAAAATGTCCAGTTTCCTTTACAAAAATTTAAATACTGAATTATTATTATTATTATTATTTTCCTTTTAAAGGAATGGGGGATGTATTCTTTTCAATCTTGGAACTATTTCTGGTCAAGAGTTCTTATTTCAAATATATCTATTTTTTGCAGGAAAATATAGCTTCTCAAAACACCTTCTTAAAACTAGTTCAGCCACTTTTTAAATTAATAGCAATTAAGAAAGTAGGGGTATGTTAGCATTAGATTAGGATAGCTACCTAAGTAGTATATTACTAAAGAGGTAGTATATAAAAGGCAGTATTCTACTTTCAAATTGCCCAAGGAAGAATAGTCAACATTCTACATTACTTAACACCAGTCCCCTACTCTCTCATGGAGGTCTTTAACTAGCCCCTTGTATTGTTAGTCTATCCAACTTCTTATTTCTTAGGCTCATATCTGCTTGCATTTATTTCCCCCTTTTTTATTCTAAATCTAAGCAACAACTTCTCAAGTCACAACACCAGGATACATTAGTACTCCTGCTTGCCTCTTCAGTAAGCGGTCTACTGACTCTTCCAAATAGCAAACATCAGTTCTTTGTATTCTCATTCTATTGTGCACACAATAGAAATGCTGACCAAAGTCAAAGAAGCTAAGCCACAAATAGCTGAGACTTAGAAAGAGCTTCATAGTCAAAATAGGAAAGTGTTCAAGTTGGGGGAAAAAAATTAGTAAGATAAGAGTTATACACTATTCCACATTTTCAAAAATCTCTTTTTTAAAAAAAAGATTTATTTATTTGTGCATACAGAACTGGGGTACAGGCCAGAGGCTCAAGGGCAGTGAGAGGCTTCACCAGAGACAGAGTAGGGAGCAGAACAGGCAAATCGACGAAGTACACTGCTGAGGGGAGCAGCGGGCGGGTCAGGAGAGGTCTGCCACGCCATGTGGTCACCT